TTAAATTCTGAGCATGGTTCTTTGCAGATATTTCCAGGAAATCGCTCACAGTGAAACTGCCTCGCAGGGTATGAGAAAGACTTACAAACTAAACTCACTTTCTTTACCACTTGTCCAATCTATCCATTAACAAAGGCTTTGCAAGGCTGCATGGGTGTGCAAGACCCCTCAGAAATGATAATACAGAAGTGAGAAAGAGATGTGAAGATGGATCTTTTCAGTTGCAGTTGCACATCTAGGCAACAGGATGCTGAGCACTGGCCACAAACACTTCCCCAGAAAGCCAACAGGGAAGCCTCTTTTTTTTTGTAAACCTGGAAATCCAACTTCCCTTCACTACAGTGACTGATCTGATCCCGACAGACAACTTTAAATTACACTGTCTCAGAATGCAATTTGAGGGCAGCCTCCACTGAATCATCTTGGGAGACCACTGGAAAAAAATGTCAGTTCTAAGGTGTCATGCCAGACTGATGTAAAAATCTCCATGGTGAGACTCTAAATCTACAGCTTTACTATGGTTCCTAGGTAATTTTATTGCAGAAAATTTGTGGTTAAAAAGTAAAGATCAGTGTGTGCACAGCCTTACCCAAATGATCAGGCTTCCCAGTGTTCATTTTCTCATTTGAAAGTGGAGCTCATCCCTCCATCCTTAGAGTTATCTGAGGATTCATGAAAGTGCATTTAGGTCCCTAACACATTGTCTTGCACACTGGAGAGGCACACAAAAGACATTATTAATTGCATTTTTCTAGCATACCTCTTAACCTCTCTATTCCAGTATTATTTACCAGATAAGAGTTTGAGAATGATCATAAGGGACTAATGCAAGGGTTTTCTCACCTGACAGGCAGTTTCTGTGTCCATTCATTTTGAATCTAGAGTATGTTTCTAAGCAAGGATTTCTCCCACTTGCAGCCCAGTAAACCACTCAGGGTTATCAATTTAGAAGTGAGGGGGGGCTTAAATAGGAAGAAAATATGCCTGCAGTGTCTAACAACCTCAAGTGAAAGGTCATGTCCCTTCATTATGAATACAGGTGTCAAAGCACTATAGGACTCGTGACTTTGTCATCAGTACAAATCATTACACAAAAGATGATTTTATCAGTTACTTTGAAATGGTGATAATTATTAGACTCACCATAAGGTCTTGTTATCTATTTCACTATCCCCACAATATTTTTGATAGTTACACTTTATGTGGGTTTCTTTGTAAAAACCATGTATATTTTTTATGCATCTAAATATTTTTTTTCTCAGAAAGAGTTTAACATTGTAGATAGCCACGAGGGTCCAGGTGGTAACAGACCCAGGATTATGGCTACCTCAGCTATCTGCTACAGAAGGATTCACAGAGGCCCACATGACAAATAAGATCACAAGTATTTATTAGCACTGATCATGTACTTCCTAGACCCAGTCTGCTCTGGGTGCTGGGAACACATCAATGAACAAAATGGGTAAAAATTTCTGCCCTCATGGCAACTAAATTTGTGTATGTGTATGCATATATGTGTGTGTGCTTGTCTGTGTGTGTACACATGTATGTATGTAGCATATGTGGGTATTATGATTACCATGCAGTTATTACCTCACTCTCTGGGGCCTTGATTATTTTATTTCATGTGCATCCTAAAAGGTCCTGTTGTCCTTTCTAGCTTAAAATTTTCAAAATGCTAACAATGAGGCATAGGATTTGCCCCAAGTAAACCTTTCAGGATAAGGAATCTTTTTGCATTTAAAAGAGCATGTTTTGACCCAAAAATCAACAACTCATAGACTTTCTCAAGTTCTCTATTTGCCCTTAATTAGGTCTGTTATGGCTTGTATCTAGATGTCGCCCTAAAGTCTCATGCACTTATAGGTGGGGCTTATTAGAGGTGGCTGAATATAGGGTATGTGAATATGGATTAAGAGTACATGATAATGAATTTAGGGCACTGATTGGTTTAACACAGTTCTGAGTGTGAATGGCACCAACCAATAGACTTGTAACCTGTATGAAATAAAAGAAAGGGAGGCTCACGGCTTGCTGTTTCCTGCCTACCACACTATGGACTGTTTCTCCTCTGCCATGCCTCTCAACCAGGTCACCGTTCCCTGTGGCCAGCCGACTAAGGAATGAAACCTCTATAAACTGTAAGCTAAAATAAATCTTCCTTCCTTTAACTTGTGGGTGTTGGTATTTTGTCCCAGCAATGAGAAAAATAACAAAGACAGCTTACTTCTGTAGGAGATGCTACCACAATCCCACCTAGGCCCCCTTGCCCTTCCTGAATGGCATTTGCTGATACTTCCAATAGCTTCCTGTACCTACCTGAAAGCCAAGCTGGGAGTTCTGGGAGCCAATGCTCCAGGAATAACTCTCAATTAATGAGCCATAGAATTGGTGGATCAATACCCCAGCATACTCACCTAGAAGGATAATTCTGAAGCATCTTTCAGAAAGTCTCCAATGGGATTTGGCCCAGTGCCCACAGTATTTCACCAAAAGTGTTTTGCCTTGCTTATTTTTTTGGTCTTTTTTGAGACAGGGTCTCACTCCGCAGTTCAGGCTAGACTTGAACTCACTTATGTGGCCCAGGCTGGCCTCGAATTCACAATGATCCTCCTACCTCAGCCTCCCAAGTGCTGGGATTACAGTCATGCTCCACCACACCAGGCTGGGCCTTGCTCTTTTTTATTTGCCTCCTTTCTTCACTTTGTCATGAGGAACTTCCCAGGACCATCTCCTAAATAGTGTTGGTCTTAGGTTTTTCTTGTGGCTTAACCCACAATAACATAATACAGACTCAAAATACACACATTTCAAGGCACACACTAAAAAACTTTCCCACACAAGGTGAATTTGCTCTGTATTATGTTGTAACCAGCATGGAAAAATGGAAATTTAAAAGTTAGGTTTCTTTCCTTAGGAGACAAATGGTTTCTTCAAACTTCTCCAGACCTAGGATATAAACCCCCACCTCTGCTCAGCCCAGACAAATGGATAGAATGCGCGCATGCTGGAATCAGGAGGTCAAAAGCCAGTGTCATTTCCACAGAGAAGGGAGGGAGATGACAGGGTCTGGGAATAATGAAACCAGTCTGGACAAGTCTTTTGTCTTCTTGTACCCCCTTTCTCAAGCTTCCTTGACCATAACCCTTGATACCCATGTACATGGGGAAATGGTGATATGGGTGGTAAATCCCCTTCACCCACTTGGGTCTAGCTTCAAATAAAACCTTTTTGCTTTTTACAAAAATAAACAGCCTCCCCTGATTTAGCAGTGAGCAAATTAACCTGAACATATAGACCTAAGTAGCTGGTAACAATGTCACTTTCACAAAATTGCTTCTGTTTGTACATTTTGTCTCTGCTTCAGACAGAACTGATCTTTCTTCCCTCTTTCTGGGATGTCATTGCAATTTCTTTGATTACACACCTCTGTTCCTTGATCAGTTTGACCAAGGAGTCTGAACTCATTGAGTGGTTAACTTCATGGAATGATTTTGTTTCTCCGGTAATTGCTACTGAGTGTATTCTTTCCACTGGATAATAGGGATACAACCATAACTCAGTTTGATTCCATTTATTTAATCTAGTTTTAAAAAATCAATCTCCTTCTTGTTCAAAAATAACACGTCTCTCTTTTGTTTAGGCTGAACCAGTACCGGAGACAGGTAGCAGCAGGAAGATAGTGGCAGGATCTTATGCTTTCTCATTCCTTCTTTCTTCTAAGCATCCACAAATCATGGTGTTTCATGTTGACGTATGGCCCACATCTAGGGAAGAGAAGTTCTGAAAGCCTTGCTGGCTGTAGTCAGCTGCCTTGAGATGCTATTGGAATGAAGTAGCGCCTCAACCTCATTTTGATTTCACCTGCTAACTACCACCTCCGCTGTTTAGAATGGCCTTGGTGTCTATCAGGGCCTCCCAGTCCCCAGACCTGGATCACACACCAGTAGTGGTCTGCACAGCAGAAGGTAAGCAGCGAGTGAGCTAAAGGAGTTTCATCTGTATTTTTAGTTCATTCTATGCATTACTGAATGAGCACTATCTGTTGTCAATCAGCAGCAGCATTGGAACCCTACTGTAAACTGTGCCTGCAAGGGCCCTAAGTTGCATGAATTATCCCAAAAGCATTTTCCCAAGTCCCTGCCCTATGGAAAAATGAGCTTCCATGAAACAAATTCCTGGAGGAAGAAGGTTTGGGAACTGGTGATTGATATCTGTGGATTTCAGAGTTTCAACTCCAGTCAGCCCCACTCCTTGTCATTCCCCCACGGTGTGGGCCTCCAATGCACTCTGGGGATTGGGTATCTCACTAATTAAGTGTTTTGATGTCTTTTCTGCTTCTTCTCCATGCTTCATCAAACAGAGCCAAGAGAACGTGATGTTGTCTTTCACCACAGGCCAAGGAGATGATCTGGGAAAGGTTGCCTCCATCTTCCTCTTCCTTGGCACAGGATATACTTTGGCTTTACCCATCTACTATCTCAGGGTACTTCCTGTGGGGTTTCACCTTCTTAACTTTCCAGAAATAAATTGTGCTTTTTATACATAATATCCTCCTCAACGGCACAGATCAATGTTAATGTGTCACTTGACATGCAAAGAGGAGGAGGGGACCCGTCACTTTCTTGCAGGCTGTCAGCTTTCACTACCTTCTTTGATCCAAGTCCTTTTTATATCTTTCATTGGTAAAGTCCACAGGTCAGATGAGCATCTTTGAAACAGAGAGGTGGAGGGATTCTTTCACCCTGAATGTGGTTTTCCGTGCACCTGGCCATCCAGAATTCAATAACTTTTTCGTAGCAGTGGTATCTCTACCCAAATCTTACATTACCGGTAATCTCTGGAAATGACAATGTTTATCTTCAGCTCAGATCACCATGGTACTATATGTAACTTTAAACCAACTCATTTACATTCCCCAAAGTCCCAAAGGAACCATTTTTGGATACTCAGTAAGACAAATTTGGGAAATCAGGAGTTTGCAATAACAAAATGGGGGAAAAGGCAAACATTTATTTTTATTCGCAAGTGCAGTTTCTGCCAATAGTTAGTGCTCACAGATTCTTTTAATCTAGAGTTAACTTTTGGTAAACTCCATGAAGATACTTTAAAAAATATCCAATGATAAGAAAATTACAGAAAAAATTTCCAATACATTGTCAAAAATGTTTGAATCCTCAAATCCACCATTTTCTGCAATGATTTTAATGTTTGTCATGGTTAAAAAAAGGATTTTCTTTTCCTTTTCTTTCTATTTCTACATAGTCCTGTTAAATTAAGACAATCTGCTTCATGAACTTTTAGGACTGTAATTTTTTGGATTTAGATTGCTTTTATTCTCACGTTTATATTAATGCTTTAATACTTTACATAAAACACTGATTTGCTATGTTTTATGAAACAAATTTATAGATCTTATTTCTGGTGAGGCATTTTCAGTTTTGGGGAAAACTGAAAATCTAATGAGTCGAAGGTCATTTTATGCCTTTCATCCTCTTAACTATAATAAATAATTAGCAACTTATTAATTACAAAAGTTCTTAATTATGCTTAGAGCAACCAGAGAATTTTCACAGATTTAAATTCATACTTGTTATAGTATGTAAAGTTGTTAAGAAAAGCCTCTGGCCAGTTTGGTAACAAATGGCTTTTGTTTGATGCATAATTAATAAAAACTAATGATGACTATGTAGATCCTCCAGAGTTTTAAAGGCAAATCTATATTGGCCTACAGTTAACATGCAAATTCATCCAACAAGCAACACAAAATGTATTGTAGTAGTCATTCATTTTTATCAACATTCAAGAAGATCTAGACAGCAGCACAACTCTCCTATGTCGGAAACACATTATAACATGATCACAACTGAAGTCAGGTCATACCTGGGGAAAATACCCCTTGCTAATTCACCCTCTAGCTGATATCAATTCAGACTTCCAGCACGATACATGAACAATAGCGATTAATACTGTGGTATGAAGGTAAATACAGACAAGAGTTTGGTGTGCTAGCATACAGTTTTAAAAACAGTGACGAACAGGACCAAACATCTTGCCTTGTTCACTCTTCTCTCCTGTGGGGAGCCTGGAATTCCCAAGGTCTCACTGAAACATTCAATTTGGGGAACTGAGTCCAATGATCCTAGCACTGAAAATTGTTCCCTCGAAGGGAAATTTGGCCACAAGGGGATGTCATGCCCATTCTAGGGTGGGCACAAAGGGTAACATCTTGGTGTGCGAAAAGTGATTTCCTTTTAGAAGCCTTGGCGGAAAATACGATTTTTCAAAATATTTAGCTTTATCCCCAGAAATAGTTTGGTAGTATTCTGTGGCTCAAATTTTGTTTCATTGCTTTTGGTTGGATAAATGAAATGTGCACACCATCACCATCACTCTTATTTCTTCTTTCATCACATAAGACACTTGTTAAGATAAGAAAGATATTCTACTAAAGCTGACGGTGATTGAGAGTCATTCAATATTCAAAGTTCCTAAAGAATCGTTGGTTTTCTGAAAGGGATAAAAAAGTAGGAAAGGCTTTGTTCAAACTCCCGCTAGTAAACAAGTATTACTTCAACCGATACAATGGCTACGTGACATCAAAGTACTATAAATTATCAAAACTATCGTACAGAAAAGTTACAAATTCATTGCAAAATACATTACACTGCTACCATTAAGAAAAAGTGCTTTTTGTTTTCCTTTCTTTATTTTATTTTATTTTATTTTATTTTTTGCCAGAAAAGTATTCTTTCAATATAGAAAATCCTATGCGGTACCCTGCATGTGGCTAGGATATATCATAACGGAGTTTGTACTGAGTCCTTCTGATTTGCTGGATGAAGGGCTGAAAAATATAATAATGACTTATTAAAGCCATGCTCCAAATGACCATGCCAGCTGTCAGTGGAGAGATGCCTATTTAAGACACAAGAAGATGCCCTGGTCTGTCGAACCCTGCCGGTCATCACAATGTCCCACCAATCAGCTGGTCTAGAATGCACAGGCCTTTTGCATGTTCTATGGTTTTCCTCATATTCTCCTGAATTGTTTTCATGTCTTATTCTAGTTCTGTCATTTATGTGAATCCTCTGTTCAGTGATGTCTATATTGTCTCATGAGGGGGACGATGCAAGATGGCGGACCTGCTAATTTTAAGAATGGATGTCCAAGCAGTTCCTGGGCGGTGGCTCTTTGAGAGGGCTCCCGTACCAACATCAAGTCAAGGAATCCCCGGAGCACTGAAGAAACCTGTGAAAACACAGATATCATCCTAAGGACCAAGAGAAACCCAGCCCCATTCCCCATGGTGCTTTTCCAAGTAAACCTATGGACAACTTCTAGAAAGTCACTTTAAGGAGAAAGATGTAGGGAAAGCAAAATAAGGAAGTAGCTTTATTAACACATGATATTTTTCTTACTGTCTTCAAGTTTTAAATAACATGGGTAAACGATGGTGCAACTAAGGATGAAAATTCATTTAATAAATAAAAGAGTAATGGTAATAATAGTGAGAAAAGCAACTATTATGAAACGATGGGTACACACAAGGGTGCTGGTCACATGTGTAATGAAGTACAATGAAAAACACAGAACAATTTCATTTCTTTTGCAACTACCACCAACTAGGCTTTATGTATCCCCCTTTCTTGAGGAGAAATAAGCTTTTGTAAGGATATCTGACATATAGCATCTTCCCTTCAATTTCTTCTACATTAGTTTTTGACATCTATCTTAACCACATACATGTGCATTCATTCATATTAAGTGGGTGATCAGTGGATCTTACATATATTTACTCTCCGTTCCTGGCAAGATCTAGAATCTTTCTGCCATTCTTGGAGGCCACCTTGGGTCTCCTTCCTGACAATACCCATCCCGCTGCAGAAGGGCAGCACTCTCCTGACTGTGATAGCATAAATCAGCTTTGCTTGCTCTTTTACTTTGTAGAAATACAGCCATCTTCTGTGGCCTCTTCCCCATCTGGCTGCCTTCCCTTATCATGGTGTCTCTGGGATTTAGTCCTGCCGTGTGTGATGAAAGTTTCCTCTTCATCTTTGTTGTATAACATTCATTGTCCAATTACACCACACATTATCTATCCATTTGCAAAACGTTGAGTGTTTTCCCATTTTTTACCATTAGGATTAACAGTGGCCTTCTCTATGGCTTTGCAGAGCATTAGTACTCACTGCTATTGGATGTGGGACTATTTTCATACAATATACTTTCTGTCACTTTTCATTATTTAAACTTAGTCCAACCCAGTCAAAGTTCAATCTCTTATTTGGTTCAAGTGGCTTCGATTTTACTTTTTTGAAGGTTCCTGCATCCTGTGTGAATAAGTCAACTGAGACTCTTCCCCAAGACAAGGGACACAAAAGAGAAAACACTACCCTTGCAAATTAATCTCCCCCAAAAGGCAGCCTCATGCTCCTGCTTATGGTCATGAAGAAGATGGGAGAGGAGGTGTGGCTGATCAGTGATTACAGAGGGTCCGATGGAAATGGCCTTTCTCAGCAAGCCCTGTAGGGTGGTGGCAGCTCTGGAAGTGGTGATTTTTGGACTTACAATTTTTCCTGAGCTTGGTTCCAATGGGCAAATCTTAGACAAAAGGGAAGACCCTGTGTAGCCCGTTCTACATATGATACTAACTTGTCCTTCACTTCTTCCATGATCCCGCCCCTGCCCACCTAGCCTGTCTTCTTGCTTCTGTTGCTACAGCTGCAGGAGGCTTCTGCTTCCTGGGTTTTATAGGTCCTTGGGCTTAATGTTCCTTCTGCTGGGATCTTTGCATAGCTTATATCTTCCTATTCAGGTCCAGCTCAGCTCAGGCGATCTTTCCAAGGAAGGCCTTCCTTCACTGTCCAGGGTACAGTAGCTCTCAGCACCCTCTCCTGCCCTCCACCGTATCACAGTACTTTATTTTCTTCACAGCAGGTACCACTCTCTGACATTATTCTCTTCCTTTACTTGTTGATAGTTTATCATATGCTTCCTCAGCTAGAATACAAGCTCTGTAAGAGTCATGTAATCTGGGGTCCTGTGGTACGGTATCCCAGGTGATTAGGAGTCCCAGGAGGTAGCAAGTGCTCAGTGACTGAGTGACGAGCTGATTCACCCTTTTAAGTAGCCTTTGATAGAGAAGCTGCTCATACCTTATTTCACAGATGAACTCTGGAGTCAGAGAGGCTGCGTCACCGGTCCAGGCAATGAAGAATGAAATTAGGTAACTAATTCTGAAGTCTGTGTGCCCTTTTATAAGGATGTATTACCCACTGGATGTGATATGCTAATTTTTAAAACCATAGAGAGGCTGAAAGATCCAATAACTATTTTGGACCTATCAGTACACACTTCTCACCTTATGTAGGTCCTTCACTCTTGGAGGTAAACTGTCCCGGATCCTCCTCATCGCCTGGAGGGGAGGTTCATTGAAGTAGGGGGGCTCACCATCAATCATCTCTATCACCATGATCCCAAGGGACCAGATGTCCACCTGTTAGGCAGATATGCACTTGTTATCGGGCAAGGAGAAAGTTCTGGAATTTGGATGCATACAAGGAAACCCAGTCGTACTCAATCATAAAACAATATGATATTTATAGTGTTTCAATATTTACAATATAGGCTGAACTATTGGATTATTGTGGATTATTTTGCTAATCATCTTTCATTGCTGTTTAAATACCATTCTAGTGAGGCTTCCTCCAGTTAGGTATAAGTGATTATCTTAACATTGTGAAATGTAGAACTTTAATTTTTATCCAGTTGGGTTTTCTTTTTTGGTACTTAATGGGCTGTCATGGTAGATGAAAAAACCCAAACTTCTGTTATGAAAACAGAAAGTTGCATTTAAATCATAAGAAAAGTGTTTGACATAGTCATAACAAATTGCAAAGAGCTACACTGCACAGTGTAGAAGGTATCCTGGCTCCTTCTACTGATTTGCTTTTTAAAAAATAGTTCTTTCTTCACCTACTTTGGAGTTTTCCCCTTATGTTTTATCATTTTGAAGCAGCATACTCAAGACCTTGCTTTATATAAACCATTTTCAGAGGGTGGAGAAAAGAAAAGGCAACGATGACAAGTAATTCCTTCAGATAGAGAGTGGGAAGGCAGGACATTGAGAAGCCACAGCAGTGCTATAAATCCCCATTCTAGTCACTTCCTGTCACAGCCTTAATACACCTCTTATCTGGTCATTGCACTTCTGCTACCCGCCTTGCAGTGACCTTCTCCAAGACCACAGTAAGAAAAAGAAGTTGAGTGCTCATCTGATGTCTTACGATGAAGGGGAAGAGCAGAGTCTGCCCTGGCTTAGGAGACATCTTTACCCACTGGATCACAGCTTCTTCCCAGCTTCTCCTCTTCCAAAATCACCATCTGCACCATGATATGTGGAAATACTGTGCTCAGCCGTAATGAGCTCCATGACCTTCATGTGAATGTGATCCATTGTGCCTTGGAGCTTCACCTCACACTGCTTCCTCCCTCGGAGGCTTTTCCTCCACACCCTCTGCCCCTCCATTTCATATCTCAAAGCCCGGTCCTTTGACACATTATGAGTGCTTGTCTTCTTTCTAGGGGAAAGAGATGCTGTGCCATTGTCTAATATACTATATTAGCATTTGAGTATTTTTTCTACAGAAACACACTATTGCTCATTTAATACAATCTCTGTTTTATGGCACTCTCTGATCCTCTGTCCCTTCTCTGCAACATCCTGCTTGTTCACCTGCAAATCTCTAGCTGCATCTGAAGTCTTTCCTTTATGGGTCCACTGAGAGTGGGAGAAGAGTTTGAATGACTCCCCCTCACCTTAGCATTCATGGCAGTGTTGCAGTAAAAAGACTGGTAAACATTGCGGATGTCCTCAGTATGATCTGAGTCCTTTCTGACACCACCTACTCTGTGCCAGGTTAGTGAATGTGGAGTCAAAAGTCACTGCCCTGATCTGTGGTCACCAGCTATTTGAGAGCCACTTCATCCTCAGCCTGTCCAGGACCTACCACTCTCCACCATGGCTGTCACCACTTACCTCTGTCCCATAAGGCAGCCTAGAAATCACCTCGGGTGCCATCCAGTAGGGGGTGCCCACCAGCGATTTCCTCTTTGGCACCTCTTTGGAAACTTGAGCACAGAAACCAAAGTCAGATAACTTTATCTGGAAAGGAAAAGAAAACAACCAAGGAGTAATTTGAAAATACTGCCTACCAGGCTGGGAAGTACACATACAGGCCTAGAAATACAGATAGAGTTTCAAATTCAAGTGCATTAACAGGCCTCAGAAATATCAGAGAACAGGTTGTGAGATCCTTTCACTGGAAAGACATGAAACTATTTTAATGAGAAAATATCTCACAGATTACCACCGTTGATTTCCCAATGTCTACACTCTTGATGCTTATACCTTTTATAAAATTATGGATCAACAACAACAATAACAAAACTCCTTACAAATTAAATGTTTTCATTGAATCTCAAAACCACAATTCTAGCTGAAAGGAGTAGATAATGTTTCAGGGCAAGTGCACTGCTGTCCACAGTGTGAATTTTGTACAAATTGCTGCAGTTTTAAGTTCTTTTGAATTGAGCACACTTATATATCTGTGTTCTACAAGATGATTCAAACGACCATCCTGATTCAAACGACCATCCTCTTTTCTGTGTTTGAAATACTGCATATCACTTATCTGGGATGCTGAGTTATTACTTTAAGTGTCTGCCCCCTGTCTCTTTTAGCTTTGTTCCTTTGCTCATGACAATGGAAGGTGCCAGTGTGAACATGAAGCATAGATACTAAGGGTCAGCATCTGGTTGTCAGGTATGTGAGGTGGGCATCTGCAGGAGTTGGTACATGGCCTCTGGAAGAGAATGTCGCTTAGACTTGTCACTCAGACTTATTAGTGATGATAGAATAGGCACTGCTTAACAATAGTTCAGAGTGACTGTTTGAAGTTAAAATTTTCTGTAGAGCAAAGGTGCAGTCTCTAAGCTATGAACCCTTCTGACACTCTTCATATCTTTCTGTTCTTCCTTTCTCAACCTTTTTTCTGGCTCTTCTCTGCTGCCATATCTTAAATATTGTGATTTCTTACTGTTTTTTTGTTTAGAATCTCACTTTTTCTCTTTTTCTGTACTCTTTCTGCATTTGTTTCCTTAATTAAAATTGAGCTGAGGGTTTAGCTCAGTAGCATAGGGCTTGCCTGCCATGCATGAGTCCTCAGTCCAATTCCTAGCACCACAAAGCAACACAATACCACATGACATAATAAAACACAACTGAATTTCTAACTAGTATGCTTCCACATGGATGGCCACAGGTACTTTCAGACTTGAGATCCCTTCCTCTGTTTCTAAATCTAACCCCTCACCTATCTCTCCTGGCCTAATTAATGACACCAACACCAACCTAGCCACTAAACGGAACTCACGAGAATCATCCTTAATTCTTTCTTCTATCTCACCCAAAATCTTCTCAGTCAAAATTTTAAGAAATGCATCTCTGCAGCTTTAGGATCCGCAATGTGTTGGTCTATCTTAGGTCCTCAAAATCAGAATGTGTGGATGAGCCTCAATCATAAAAAATGAAAGAAGCTTCTGAGAATGAAGATCAGATGTGTTACTATTTGTGAGCAGTATTAAGCCAAGAGGACTAGCCAGGGGACAAGATCTCCTCATTTGTTAGTATGATAATTTTCAGAAACATAGCAAAGCTGAAAAAAAAGGTACAAAGAAAATTCCTGTCCCCACCAAGTAGACTGTATAATTGCTTATGTTTTACTATGTGGGCTTAATCACACACCTTTCTATCAGTCCATCTTAGTTTTAAGTAATCACTTTATTTTTATGTGCTCATCTACCTTAGTTTTGATCCATGTTAGATTAAATTGCTGACATCAGTACACTTCACTCAATGTAGCATTAACTAGAGTTCAACATTTGTTTACAACTTATGAAAAGTGAACTACATGTATCTTAGCTTTCCTGCATGATGAGTTTTTACAAATGCACACACCTGTGTACCTCCAACTCCTATTATGTGTACACCACTGGGAGACACCACCACGGGGCCTGGTTTCAAGGAGCCTTGGGATGCAGGTGATAGTCAATCACCCTTGTACAGCCATAGTAGTATGGGAAAAGAAGATGACCAAACATGAAATGCAGAAGAGCTGAGGCGACTGAAATTGAACTATTCCAGGAGATTAAAGAGCACATCAAGACTAAAGCACATCAAGAAGGCAGAGGAAAAGCACCGGAGACTGATTTGGCAGTTCTGAGGTGCGGATGGCCCTCACCTATAAAACAGTGGGGCTATCAAATCAGCTCAGCACTTGTTGCTATTGTATTTGGTGATAAGGACATTGTTAGCTACCCATAGTTTCAGTATTAATGTGAGGAAAAAAATCTAGGTAAGAAGTGAGACAAGTCTCAAAAACATTATAAGTATTTTAGTATAGAAGAATACATCTTAAAGAAGGAAGGGAAATTATAAATATATCTATATCTATAACTATACACACACACAAGAGAGCTAATTGTACTGATAGTTTCTATTGGGTTACTGAAAGGAACAGTTAATGCTTAATATTTATTGACAAATTTTGCATGCTTATACCTGGTAATCTGAACTACTTTGAAGACAACAATATGCAATATACCAATAATTGTTGAATTCATATCTTGTTTTGTGAAATTCTGTATCATTTCTAATGTTTTTTATTTTTTACTCTCTTTAAAATAAAAAAGAATAAATCTTATAGCTACAAATATGGCAAATGACCAAATATGGTCATTATTATGACCCTAAATAGTGGGTTCAGTAGGTCTCTCAGAATTTATAGCCATCTAAACTGTGGAATGTTACTTTATTTGGAAATACAGAATATTTGGAGATATGCACATGTGCTGCATAAAGACATTTTGTTCAGAGTAGACTGCATATGGAATGGTAGCTTTACAAAATTACGTTCATTACCTGGTGACTGTAGGCAACTTAACTTGTCTGAGTACACTCTATGATATTTGCACAATGAGGAAATTGCCTAAAGATGCCTTTCTCAGAATTTATCTCCATCATTTTGTGATGCATGACTATAACTTACTAAGGTAAGGTCATTCTGGATTAGGAAAGATGCTGAAGTGACTGGTGTACTTAAAAGAAAAAGAGAGAACGTACAGACACACAGAGAAGATTATGTACAGAAGAGGCAGGGGTCGGAGTGTTTTATCCACAAGCTAAGGAGCACCAAGGATTGCTGATAACTTGCAGAAAGTGGGAGAAAGAAATAACAGACTCTCTCTCAGAGCATCCAGAAATAACCAACCCTGCCATCACCTTAATTTTGAACTTTCAGCCTCCTAAACTGGGAGCAAGATAATACAAGTTCACTCAGTTTGCGGTAATTTGTCATTTTATCCTAGCATATCCGTTGAGTGAACCCCTAACATAGTCTAGACAAACCTCAGTGAAGTCTTCCTACATGCCTGCTGAACACTTTACATGTACATCCTATTTAACTGCTAAGGACAAACTAACGAGGCAAGAAATGTTATCTTCCCCATTTCACAGACAAGTAAGCGAAGGCACAAAGTGGTTAAACCACTTGCAAAGGATTCACAGCTAATGAGCAGAAGAGCCAGGATTGAGGCATTTAACTACCATTCCAAATGGAAAAGCTAAGTCCCCAGGTGAAAGAAGGGTGTCAGCTGAGAGGTAGATGTTACAGATGGGTGAGGTGAGTGTAACTGATACCAGGGTCTCTGGTGGGACAGAAGGAGTCTTGTCACCTCAAGCATCAGCACAAGTTGCAGCTGCAACATCACCCAGTAGCCTTTACATGTGCAGTCTCAGGTCCCACCCCAGCCCTGCTGAAATCAGAGCCATCGCTAGCTACAGACTACCAGTGTACACAACACCTTGCAACACACACAGTTCAGTTGGTCTGAGAAAAAGGAGAGGAAGGGGCATTTTATGATCAAGTGAGTTAAGACTGAGGGGCATCTGTTTGAGTAAGGTTTCATCTCTCTCCACTTTAGTGTCATGACCAAAGCCTTCTCAGTGTTTTTGCTGAGTCCCAGCTGGCTTGAACACAGGGAAAATCATCTGTATGACTTTCAAGACCGACCTTCAGTTGGTGCCTTTCCACGTATATAATCTCATTCCTTTCTGCACACATTGATACCATCTAGGGACTAATGAGGTTTCTTAAATATGGGATTTCCAGTACTAACTCCTGCAAAGCTCCATGTAAACCAGAAAGAGCTGGTCAGCCTAACTTCTGTTCCCAGCTCTCTGAGGTTCGTTTGTTTGTTTGTTCTTGCAATTCTTAAAGATACCTCAGAATCTTGTGCATATCTCACTTCTCCTGGAATTTTTCTTAGAAGACTATATTGAGTTTCCTTCTCTCCAAATGCAAGAGAATTTAGCATGTACTCAATCTTGAAAGGGATTCCTGGTGCTGATTGTATCCCTTTGGCCAGAAATGACATTGCTCAGGGCCACAACTGATTTTTGACTGTGAAGCCTTAAAAGCTGGCAAAAAAGTCTATGTTCAAAAAATGCACGCCATTAGCTTGGCTTTATTTTATACTGAGGCACATACATCACAGGAGGTCATATAATAGAAGACACATGGAGGCTCTTTCTGAAACCATTGCTGATGTGCTGAAGATGATTTACAGACTCAGATTTGGAATATAGGTGAAATTGGCATACAATTTTGGAAATTATCAATATAGATTTATGGTTTGGAGTAGGGGGAGACTGGATTATTTACCATGGAAAACTGAAGAAAGATGTTGTAGGAGGAGATTACTTTCTCAGTTGCATTGGGAAATCAAAGAATCAACCCCAGAGGACTCAGATTATAAAAATTCCCGAGTTGTGAAGAAGGACCTATGGCCATGATAGATGGCCCATAATTCTTGCTATTCTGTTATAGAAGAAATCTATTGTGCAGAAACATGAAAATCCTACAGTCCATCCCTTTTAGCCTGGGATTATTTGTAGAATGGGAAAGAGATGTGATATTGATTATGTGAGATCCCATATCCCTTATTATATCTCAGTTACCCCTACCCTGAGCAGATGTTGGTGTACTTCAGAATTACGTGCAGTACATGTGCCTAAACAAACAGAGGAGAGGAAAAGATCCACAT